CGTTCATGCATCTCCAGATCTCAATCTTTGGTGTTCTGGATCAATTCCTCTCATAATATTCCTCCATGACACTGTCTTAAGCCATACACTATCATTTCTCTCGGTCTGCCTCTGCTTCTTCTACCAGTGATCATCCCAGTCGTCACAATATTTTCCAGTGCACCTTTTCTCATCACATGACTGAAGAACTGTCTCCTTCATATTGTTCAAATATACACAACTGATTTCCAGTTTTAAAATGTGCTGATTGTTGAAGACATATTTTCAATTATTTTTCCAACCAAATAAAGTTTGCTACTATCTGGTAATTCAGGTAAAACACACATTTAACTTTAAAATAATTACTTTAACATAAACAACAGATTAAAGCCATAATATTAAAATAAAAAGCATTATTTTAATTTCTAATTCACAGTTCCTCTTCCCAAGAGAATGTCCGCACAGAAGTACAAATCTGTGAGAGATATACAATCTTCAGACAGATTCTTTCCAAAGAAGCAGTCTCACCATCACCTTTGTGTGTGTGTGTGTGTGTGTGTGTGTGTGTGTGCGTGTGTGGTGCGTGCGTGTGTGTGTGTGTGTGGGTGTGGGTGGGTGTGTGTGGGGGGGGGGGGGAGGAGAAGGGTTGGATGGGTGAGAATATCTGTGCGTTTTGTGTGTCTGGGGGTTCGCATGATTTTGCTAGGACAGTGGTTTTGTGGTCTAGGCCTACTCTAATCTTTCCCATCTGGTGGCAGAACAAACTTCAGTGGTCTGTCATTATCATTTACACACAAAAATAATAAAAACACACACACACTCACTCACAAAACTCAGCTTCAGAAAGCAATACTTTCTTAAAATCTAACATTTATAAATTATAACAAGTTCTTCTGTGTGACTATTAAAAAAAGTATGGGGTCAGGGTGAATCGTTGAAACTGTCATGTCTGCAGTTTGTAAAGAGCACCTGCAACTGCTGTTTACCACCATTATCTTAAAATGTTGGGTTTACAATCATCATCATATTGTGTTGTGTTACATGTCACATAAGACTTGCAGCTTATTTTTCTATTCCTTTCTATCTTGTACAACAGGGCTTTTCAACTAAGTTGACTCGGGGGCTAAATGTTGAAAATGGAGATCGTCACGGGCCAGAGGCTCGAGCCCCAGCATAAAAAGATAATTCATACAATTCAACTGGATCCGTGGGCCACTTGCTAGGATATGAGGATGCATTCATACTTTTACAGACCCATCGGCCCTCGATGGGTGATGTGGTCATAATCATGCCAGCTGCCTTTACTTCCCAAGATCTTACCTGGTACTAATTTAAGGTTGGGTTGACCTGGGAGTCAAGGTCATTTCAATATAAAAAGATTTTTTTTTTAATTTCTGGTTCCAAGCGGGTTTGAACACCCCACCTTCAGATCCGCAGATGAGCATCTAGCCACTACTCCATGGTGGCTGCCTATCAAACCATTACCTTAACAGAAATGTATAAAACATTTTCACTGAAAATTAACCAGGAAGGTGTTTTTTTTTTTTTTTTGGAAAGGCACGACATATTTCATTTAGCAAAAATTAGGACCGATTTAACAAAAGGGCATCAAATATCTTAACACTAATTCAAAAAGATTTAACAAAAGGGTATCCAATATTCTAACACTAATTACAAAAGATTTAACAAATGGGCATCAAGTATCCTGCAACAAAAGAAACAAGACTAACGCACAGTACTTTAAAAATATTACGAAAATAATAAACAAAATCAAACAACAACATGTCTAAAATGTTCTGAAAATATCATTAAAGAATTGTCCATTTTAAAAAATGGTTTAAATAAATCACCTTACTGCCCTTTTCAGACCCTATGCCCCTTTTCAGCTCCTTACCCCTTATAAATAAAATGGTGACAAAGAATTACTTATAAAAGGCAACATCAACAAAGCATGAGAAAAAGTACATGACTAAATTAAAGTTGACTTTTTGCATACTTTCTGTCAGACCTTTTAAATCTAACCCACCCCCCCCCCCCCTCCCACCCCCCAAAAAAAAAATCAAGCAAATGCACAAGTAAAACCAGATGGCAGAAACTCTAAGGCCATTAAAGCAGAAGATAATTAACTATCAAGGTATTCCTACTGCAGCTACATTGTTTCTTCCTGTTTATACAAGCATAACACTTAGCTTGTTGCTCCCTCTCACACACATACACACACACACACACTTAAGTCTACACAAAAACATCACTTAGTGTTCTCATACGCACACACATACAGCATTTTATATTTGTATGTCTACAAATAGTAATCACTAAATAGGAACAAAGTAAAGAATAAACTATTTTTCTTCCCTTTGAAAAGTATTTCTGATCACCCAGCCACAAGGAGCAAAATGACATCATTATGATGCAACATGTGTGACATAATGGTTTTAAAAAACATTGTTATTTACCCCTAATAGAGTCTTTTTAAAAATTAAATATAGTCATACCCACCATGTCTATATACTATGCAGCCAGTGCTAAAGTCAGGGCTATTCAACTAAGTTTTCTCACGGGCCAGAATATTGAACATGGAGATCATCGCGGGCCAGTGGCCCGAGCCCACACTTGTTTATACAGAAACATTGATTGATTTAAATTATTTTTTCTTTTTAATAACCACATTTCACTATTTTGGCAGCGATCGACGGGCCACTTGCTAGGCCTCTGCGGGCCACTTTTTTAGGCCTCAGCAGGCCACTTGCTAGACCTCGGCGGGCCACTTGCTAGGCCTCGGCGGGCCACTAGTTGAATAGACCTGGCTGAAGTTGTTATATAGGCATAATTGCAATGCCCAAAAGCTTTAGGTCATCAAGAACCAACAAAAACCAGAAAAAGTGCTATTAATATGGGGTGACATGTTAATGAATATGTCACAAACATATACCGGTATTTCAGTAAAATTAGCAAAAGGGCTTTCTGACACTTGAAGCACATTGTTTATATGATATCAGCATCATATTTTATAAGATCAGTTTACACTCAATGGCTGAAGAGAATAAATATTACACCAAAAAACCTCTACATCAGAAAACTGTTCCCAGCAACTATATTAAGTTTGGTTAAAATGAAAGCCAAGACTTTCTTTTTTAAAGAATAACCTTGAAAGGAGTTTAAATAGATGACCTAACAGGGTGGGTTCTGAGGCCCCATTTTGGGGGAAAATAAGAATAAACCGGCTGCCCCATAACAAGCATGTTATAAAAAGTGACTAATTAAGAGTTTGCACAAATCAAATGTGTTGGGCCTAAAAGGGTTTAAATATTGCAGTCAAGCTGTGAGTCACAAAACAAAGTGTCAACCACCCTTTTAAGGGCCAATGCAGGAGAAGAACACACGACCACCAGACTGGTAGGCAAATATACCAGTCCCTGCACGACCCTACCACCAGTATTATTAATGTTTTCTTCTTTTAACCTTGTTCCCCAAATGGAGCCAAGCTCGACAAGTGGCAAACCTAATTATTTACCATACTGTGCAACTCATTCTATGTCCTCCCCAGCTGTTTCTTCTCTTTAAGTGCATTTTTTGTTTGCGGGGGGGGGGGGGGGGGGGGGGGGGGTGCTCTCTCTTTATTCCTTTAGTTCTGTGGGTTTCGGTGAAATTACAATCTAGTTATATTATTATCAGGTTCTGTCTAATCCAGCACCAGCTAATTTCCTCACCTCAAAATTCACTTGAATTTTGTTTAATCCAGCATCCGCTAATTTCCTCACCTCAGAATTCACTGGAATTTTGTCTAATCCAGCACTCGCTAATTTCCTCAACTCAGAATTCACTTGAATTTTGTCTAATCCAGCACTCGCTAATTTCCTCACCTCAGAATTCACTGGAATTTTGTCTAATCCAGCACTCGCTAATTTCCTCAACTCAGAATTCACTTGAATTTTGTCTAATCCAGCACCAGCTAATTTCCTCAACTCAGAATTCACTTGAATTTTGTCTAATCCAGCACCAGCTAATTTCCTTATCTCAGAAATCATTAGAGTTTTGGTCTAATTCAGCACTAGCAAACGTTTTTTCACATTTAAATTCACTGGAATTTGTCTAATCCAGCACTAGCTAAATTCTCTCATTCAGAATTCACTGGAATTTTGTCTAATCTAGCACTAGCAAACCTTTTTTTCACCTCAGAATTCCCTGGAATTTTGTCTAATCCAGCATCCGCTAATTTCCTCACCTCAGAATTCACTGGAATTTTGTCTAATCCAGCACCCACTAATTTACTCACCTCATAATTCACTGAAATTTTGTCAAATACAGCACCAGATCATCTCCTCACCTCAGAATTCACTGGAATTTATGTCTAATACAGCACCGGCTCATTTCCTCAACTCAAAACTAATTAGAATTTTGTCTTCTTCTTCTTCTTCTTCGCGTTCACCAGCTGTAAACTCTGGCGGAAGGTTCTGGTTGCTCGTCCACTACTGAACTGCAGTCCTGCTCCAGAACCTGAGTGTTGCGTGTGCATCAGTTTTACAGATCTCATTCTCTTGAATACAGACTGTTGGTTCCTTGCCTCTCCGGCAAATGCACTCCGACTTCAAAGGAAGCTCCCCAATTAGTCGACTCTTACGACATGCTTTTGGGGAGGCAGTGGGTCTATTCTTGTTTTCCCCACAATGGGGCCCCGGAACCCACACGGGGGAGAATTTTGTCTAATTTAGCACTAGCAAACTTTTTTCACCTCAAAATTCACTGGAATTTGTCTAATCCAGCACCAGCTAAATTCTTCCATTCAGAATTCATTGAAATTTGTTTAGTTCTCTCCCACAGATTCCTATCAGTAATTTTTTCCCCAAACAATTACATTTCAGTTACCCTAAGCAGGCACTATTTAATGAATGTTTGCAATATTCATATTTACAAACAATAAAATTCCATGCCACAATAATTTCACATTAATATTTAATGACAAAAAAATTCCAGATCACAACAAACGTACATGAACATACTGGAACACTTATCAGGAAATGTCATAACAATGATTTTTCAATCATGATGGAGTCAAAGCCCGAAGGAGGTGTATGGTAGAATTTCTCAAACTGAACATCCAGGATGGCACCATCATCAACTAGCAACAAAACAAGGGACATGAGAATTAGGTGTAAACAGTGAACATGCAGGGGACAAAGTAACAGAGGATAAAGGACTCTTGGTCATGCTAGCATAATGGATATACGGTACAAAACTGACCAACTACATGGGTCATTGGTTAAATGCTGAATTAAGAATCGACATTACAACAGTTAAGACATTCCCACAAGTGCTCTATCCCCATCTTCAGCCGCAAGCGCAGAGTTCCACTTCTGACGGTACTAGTGACAGTCTAACTGTAAATTCATATTCACCTTTCCTTTGAGTATTCAGTGTTGGCCAAATCCCCTGGCCACTCCTTGCAGCAGCATTCACCTCAGACTGTGATGATCTATTTCTGTCTCTGCACTGTTCACTCGCTCCCCCAGGACTATAACAACATCTAACTTGTGGATGAAATCACCACCAAGTGAAACTATCCAAATGATGTAAATTACCTGGGACTAATGATGCAATGCTTGCCACTCTGCTCAGAGGTTACTATTTTCACCTTTCAATGGATCATTAGTTAAAATTTGTAATACAAAAGTTTTTTTTTTTTTTTTACTAAACTGACCTAGGGACCCAGCCTAAAGTACGCACCAGGAAATTTCAGGGGAAGTAAAAGTCACTGACACGATCCTGGCATCACCCAGCGAGTTCCAATTTGTCTATGAAAATATGGGGCTATATGAATCCATGCGGCGTCCGTGGCTTAGGCGTTGCGAGTCCGACTTATAATTCCAATGCACTGTGATCAAAACCCACTGCTGGCATGGATTTTTATCATGGTATGGGGCGTCACAGGTCGACCCAGCCTTAAATGGGTACCAGGATGGCTGTTCCGGGGATGTAAAGAGGGCCGGCGTAATGCTGATCACATTACCCACCTAATGCCGATGGTCTGACAAAAATATGGGCGCTCTTCCCATATACCTGATGCGCCTAAAGGCGTGAAAAGGGATCTTTACTTCACTATATAAATCTATGACATGAAAAGGTCTTTTATTTTTTTTTTATGGATGAAATTTTTGGTACACAGCTAAATAATGTGCATTCATTAATTTTACAACAGCAAGTTTTAAAATCCAGCAGTAAATAACTTAGTACTTTTGCCCCAAGATGGCGAAAAGTCTGCACTTCCAGTAGGCTTTAATTTCCTGATTTAGCCATCTGATAAGAACTACCTCAGAGAACCACACTGAAGAAATATAATGAATGCAGAGAAAGGGAATGACCACACAAAACATGTAATGATGACATCAAGAACAGCGTTAAAGAAAAAAACCTTACACAACATATTAGAAAAAGCAGATAGAAGATCCTTACATCTCTCTACACTTCAATGAGGCAACTGGAGGAAGAGAAAGAGAACTGGGAGTCCCAGATCAATTATAAAAATCCACCCAGAGGTGAATTTGAACCCAAGACTTTTGGTCTGGCAGGCAAGCATCTAGCTACTGTGTTACCTCGGATTTCTATGAACTAAGTTATTTAAACAATCAGAAACAAAACTTACCATAAAAGGCAGGATAAACTGTGCCCTTAACTCCACTCAGGGGAGAGTTTGTAGGACTTCCATTCAAGAAGAAATTCAGTTCCACATGATCATATGCAAGACCCTGTAAGGGGATAACACAAAGTTGTAGGTTTAAATTAGGTATACCTTTGCTGGGGTCCACAGCCAGAAATTAACAAATAAAACTACTAGCCCTGACAAAAATGCAAAGATATTATTATAACTGACTCAGAAATGTGATTAAACAAACAAAATTTATATTTATATTATTTGAACAAATAACATAAACAGTATACCTCAAAAGGGATATACTAACAGGTTATTACTTGTTTGATAGAGAAAAAACACACACAATTTTTAGCATGCTTCCTATTTTGCACGTAAAGATATTTCCTTTTTCTTTTTGTTCTCTCTGCCAGCGAGTTTCAGATGAAAAAGCCACAGGTCTCTATGAAAACTGAGGTGTGACACATGTCCTCCGTTGATCGATACAGCTTGGTTTCCACAAGAGTTCTAACTGGCAGACGTGGGATTTTCCTAGTGCATGTAGAGGACGTCTGCAGCATATGTTCAGTATTCTGCACTGCCTGTCCAGATGGGCGGAGCTCAGAGTCCCCAATCTCAAAATTCTTGCACATATGCCTTAAGAGTATGCTGTATCCAGTTCGCAATCTAAATACTATGGTATGTTACTTTCGTGTAAAAAAGTTTGTTGAATCTTCCAGATTGTGTTCTGCAAAGACATAAAGATATAATTTCTTGTTTAACATGTCTTACTCGTACTGTAAAGTAGTCAGCAGTTACAAAAAGTGGCATTTCTGAAACTAAGAAAACTCATCAACAAGATAATTTAAAACAGACAACTTATCAAGATTTTAAAAATTATCTGACTCATAGAAGTTAATATATTTGATACTTAGAAAACTACCCAGAAATGTTACAATTTAGAAAACTCACCATGATACACCAAACTCAGATAACTACCCAATTATGAAAAACTTACCAAAACCCAGAAAACTTACCAAGATATAAAATTATAGGATTATATTTTATTATATTTGAAACTCAGAAAATTAAGCCAAGATATTTTAAACTCAGAAACCTTACCTAGCTATATTAAATAGAGAAAACTACCCAGACAAATTAAACTCAGAAAACTGACCAGATACATTAAAACTTTGAAAACTTACCAAGATATCTCCTTCTTGTGGTATTTCTGGTAATTTCCCCTTTTCTTCTCCATTATGAAATATGCATCCATCCTGCCGTAAAACCCAACTGTCTGCATCATTGCCTAGAGGAATCCTATTGAGGTTACACCTTCTGGCTGCAAGACCCACACCCCAGGACCCTGAGAATGTATAAAATATTACACCAAACAAATGAGTAAAATAAATTTACACACATGATATTTTAACAATAAACATTCAGGGAGAGCAAGTGTCGCCGCTTGTCTCAGCCAAAAGTCAAAGTAAGGTAAAATCGAGAGAATCGACTTCAGTACACCAGGTTTTATCCCATATGGCTCAGCCACTCTCAGAAAAATCTTTCCCATTTGGTGATGCATGCAGCAAATTTAGGGGTTCATGACATAATTTATACACATTTAAACCTGAATTAAAATGTAATCCTCTTTCTGTTATTCTAATATAGATGTTGGAGAAGTATGATCTCTCTCTCTCTCCCCCTCCCTCCCTCTTTCTCTCTCTCTCTCTCTTTCTATCTAATCTATCTATTTGTTTGTCTGTCTGTCTGTCTATGTCTTCTTCATGCTGCCGTCGACACACATGGCATTCACCAGTGACCTCCATTGCTTTTCTGTCTACAGTAACCCAGGTCATTTTACATTACTTCACTTTATTGTTTACTATCCTCTAGGTTTCCTTTAGTCATCCATGTCAAATTTTTTCATCTGCTGTCCAACAATGAGCTATCCTTGCCAAAGTGTCATGGGCATTCTGCAAACATGTCCAAGCCATCTCCATCTTCCTCCTTTGATAATACTTGCCAATAATGAACATTTGTGACCTTGTTTGACCAAAATATTTACAGGATTCTCCTTAGATACTTTTTCTGAAAAGTCTCTAGATTATGTGTAATTCTCATTTTAATTTTCCAATACACTGACCTCGCAGTCTATTCCTTCATTCCAGGCACAATCCTTTCTATATCATGGATGGAATAAGTCCAGCACCCCTGGCCTCTCTCATCAAGATTTGTTTTAGGGTTTCTCTTTGACCTCACTTCCATAATCCACTTATAATACTGGACATTATATGCATGTGTTACGGGCCAATTTTAGGAACATTTATGTCAGACTGTAAAGTCATTCCATTCTCTGTGCATATCTGAACACTGCATTGTTACTCTTTTCTACCTGATTCTCTTGTTCCAAGTTTGTTTCAACAACTGACTGAGCAAATATTTTTCAAGTCAAAAGCTTTCTCTGATGTTTACAAGATTCAACATTTCAGTTATTTAATCACATCTGCTGCTGGAACCTTTTCTGTCTTTCCAATGTGGCACAGTAATCACGGCCCAAGGTGGTGATGGTGATTATAATTAGAAAGACAAGCTAAGAATTGTCCACAGTATATGCATGAGATTTCAGGACCTCTCTTGCCATCAAATGTATATTCTCCTTCTTTGTTCACTGGCTGTAGGCTCTGGCGGAAAGTCCTGGCTGTTTTTACATTTGGACTATGGCTTTGTGTCAGGGCCTGAGTTTTGCGTGTACATCCATTTTACTGGCTTATTTGTGTTCAGTTGGTTGTCCCTTGCCGCTCGGGCAGATGCACTGCAACTTTGAAGGAAGCCCCCCCCCCCCCCCCTCCCCCCATTAGTCGACTCCTATGAGATGCTTGTAGGGGAAGCAGTAGGTGTATTCTTGTTTTCTCCACAACTGGGCCCTGGAACCCAAAGGGGGGAAAAGCATGTGACATATTTTTTTTTCTCATACACTCAGCTCTACGCCAATCTGAAATCATTTTCTTCTTTATCCCTCCTCTCTTCCTAAATTTCCCCTTTCATGCAATGCCATCCATGGCATGGTTCTCATGAATCTGCCTCAATATCTTATCTTTAAAGTCCCGCTCGTATACATGTGTAAGTCGTAGTAGAGGGTGACACCAACATCTAGATTAAGATTGTAACCATTCATTAATTAGCCTTTTGATTCATTCACAAACCTTTCCCATGTGGGTTCCAGGGTTCATTGTGGGGAAAACAAGAACAGACCCACTGCCTCCCTAAAAAGTATGTTGCAACTGGGCGCTTCCTTAAAAGTTTGAGTGCATCTGCCTGACAGGCAAGAAACCAACAGTCTGCACACAAATAAGCCAGATCTGTAAAAGAAATGTAAACGCACTACTCAGGTTCTGGAACAAGACTTAAGTCTAGAAGGTGACGAAGAACCACAATTTTCTGCTGGAGTTTACAGCTGGTAATCGCACAGAAGAAGATTCACAAACCTACCTCTATGCATTCATTCATTCATTCAGTAGCATGTCCCTCGTGGAACCTCGCTGCCATAACAACCCTCCGGAAAACCTTCCTATCCTGAGCAAGATGTCCTGCGTCTGATACACCCATCTGGAGATCATCTGCCACATCCTGCACCCGTCTTCTCCTTGGCCTTCCTCTTCCTCTCTTCCCAGGCATATACCCCTCCATTATTGTTCTCTCTAGACTTCCATGACGTTTCAAGTAACCAAAATATTTCAATTTTCTTTGTTTTATTGTCTTTACTAGCCAACCCTCTTCAATATTCAGCTCTTGAAGTATGGATGCATTTGTTCTTTTCTTTACCCAAGATATTCTTAGAACCTGTCTGTAACATTTATATTCAAATGCATTTATGCGCTGTTCCGCTTGTTTAGTAAGTGTCCAGGTCTCACAGGCGTATCTTGCAATGGGAAAGATGCATGCTCTTAAAAATCTGACCTTTGTAGTTCTATCTGTACAATTCCATAATTTATTCAGTTGTTTTAGTCTTTGAAGAGCAATTGATAGTCGCCGTTTAATTTCTTTCATTGTGTCACCATTGTTGGTAACCAGTGACCCAAGATATTCGAAATTTTTCACCACTTCCAATCTTTCCTCATTAACATATATTTCCTTCTCCATGGTAGTTTTGTTTGTATGCATTATCTTTGTTTTTGCTATGTTAAGAAATAAGTTACCTCTATGCATATTTTACTAAAAATAAATCAACCAGTAAAGTGTTAGCACACATCTGGTTTTGAACTGGGTTAAAAAAAAAAGCAAACAGTAATTCTAGAAAAGATAAAAGTAAAACATAAATACCTGTGCACTGGACCTTTACCTCAAAGTATGCTTTATCTTGTACAATTGGAGCATTGGCCAGGGCGGCCCCACTCCCACATATTCTTTGTCCATTCTTGATGATCACAACATCATTACCTAAAATAATAAACAGATTAAATAACCAAAATAAAACAAAGAAATGTATTACCCAAACAAAGGAATAATGCTCTTCAAATAAAACTGTATAACAAATGAAAACCAATTGTCATACATTTGTGACAGTTAAAAAAATGTATTCTTCATATGAGTTTGCCCTTCAACGGGCAGCTGGCGTGTTCTGTTGAGGTTTATAGCTAGGCTTTTATATCTGTTGGCCACTGTGGCTTAGACTTTGCGAACGCCCTGCATAATGCCAGAGTACTGGGTTCGATCCCAGCTGCAGGCAATTTGGCAGCAGACCGTTTTGCACTGGTTTCGAGAACCAACCGTTCAGAAGCAATGGCAAACTAGTGAATGTAAAATCTGCCTAGAAAAAACACAACAGTCAAAAAATGCTGGGGTTGGGTCTGCAACGTCCAACACATCCGATTTCAGCAAATCCTTAATTAGACGCATTTACTATATGCTTGTTAAGGAGTAGTGATGCTGTCCCCCCAAAAACTCAAATAAAAACATTGGGCTCTGGAACCTACAAGGGGAAGAAAAACAATATTTAATATTATATCAAATAGTAGAAGAGGCAGAGGCAGACCAAGAGAAACGATGGTGGAGGGTTTAAGATAGTGGCATGGAGGAGTATCATCAGTAGAATTAATACAGTACACCAAAGACCAAGATCTGTGGTGACGCATGAACGCCTAATCCAGCTGACAAGGCACTTGAGAAGGATGTCAACCGCAACCCTAGAGTTGTGTGAAAAATTATTATAAATAAATTTTTAACATTATGTCACAAAAGGTCTGTTGAATAAATTACTTCTCTTCTTCTCAATAACGTCAGTTATTAGGGTAGACATTTGCAATCTTGATTCCTCAATCTCTTCAATCATTTTATAATTTACTGAAGTTAACACTGCTGACATTATTTTGTTGTCCAAGTGTCTGGCTAGTTCCTTTGTGTCTTAAAAATGTCATCAAGTGTCTTCTTTATTTTATTTTGTTTTGGCAGTGTAAAATAAAGAAATCTAGCTACTTCACTGCCAACCTTCATTCGACAACACATGAAGACGAATCTCTTTTGTATTTTTTTTTAATGCAAATGTGTATCTCAAGAATACACTATCTTGGAACTAAGGAATTTACCTTTCCATCAGCCACTCTTATATCCTAGTTTTTTTCCCCACAAAAAAATTGTTCATTTACCTATTCCGTATCTTTTAACTAAATTAACAGTCATAAATCAGCAATAAGTGAATAAATCTCAGTGAAAACTATTCGACTCCTTCTGGTCAGAAGGAATAGATCACTAGTATACATGGTCCAGAATTAAACAGTATGCGGTAGTGATGGTAAATAAGGCAGGTGATGAGGAAGATTCCCTGACACTTCAATGAGATACAAGGTGGAAAAGAAGAAGAAGAAGATGAGATGACGAAGAGAACTGACCACCCTAACATATATATAGTTACCTATAATAAGTGAAAGCTTTTCCTGTGTGCGTTCTGGGGCCCCATTTGAGGGGGGGGGGGGGGGGGTGGAACAGACCCATTGCCTCTCTAACAAGCATTAAATCATCATCAGTTCTGGTTATGCCTAGTGGCACATGAGGCTTCAGAGAGGACTTTCCATGCTTTCCTGTCCTGTGCAATCTTCAGTGCAGTTTTCCATGTCAAAGATGCCGCACTCAGGTCACTTTCCATCATTCGTCTCCATGTTGTTTTTGGGCGCATTCTCATAACGTGGCCAAGCCATTTCCATCTTCTCTTGGTAATCATACTGTCTAAAGTTTCTTGGTTTGTGGCTTGAAGTAGTTTAGTGTTTGAGATTGTATCTGGCCAGAAAATTTTTATAATTCTATGTAGACATGTGTGGTGGAAGGTGGACAGCTTGTGTGCATCCTTTTTGGTCATTCTCCAGCATTCCGCTCCATAAAGAAGAACTGGCAAAATGATGCTCTTGTAGAGTCGGAGTTTCGTTCCTCTGCAGTAATTGTTGGATTTCCAGATTTGCCTCATCCTTCCAAAAGCAGCTCTAGCTTTGTTCAGACGTGACTGTATGTCTTCCTCTGTCCCTCCTAGTAGGGACACCACACTGCCAAGATATGTGAAATGTTCTACATTTTCAAGTGATTGGTTACTTATGGTCACTGGTTGTTGGTTTGGACTATTTGTCATGATCTTAGTTTTCTTTGTATTTATTCTCAGTCCCACCATTTCTGCTGTGCAGTTTAGTCTGTTACTTTCCTCTTGTATATGTTCATGTTTATGTGATAGGAGTGCTATATCATCTGCAAAATCAAGGTCCTGAAGCATGGTGAATGGAGTCCATCGTATGCCTCTTACTGTCCTGTCTACTGTGTTCTTTAGTATCCAATCAATCACAAGGTTGAAGAGGAGAGATGACATAACACATCCCTGTCTTACACCCGTCTTTACTGGGAAAGATGTAATTTTTTATACTGCAGGAAAAGTCTTTATAGAAGAGAGCAATTATGTTGACTATTTTTTCGGGAATTCCATAATGTCGTAACATTTTCCACAGACCGTCTCTATGGACGCTGTTAAAAGCTTTCTCAAAGTCCACAAAATTAATATATATACTTCTCTGCCATTCGTTGCATTGTTCTAAAATGTTACGTATGGCGGAGATGAGCTCAGTTGTTCCTCTGCCCTTTCTGAATCCTGCTTGTTCCACTCGTAGGCATTTATCTACTCCTTTTTAAAGCCGCATTACGATGATTTTACAAAATATTTTGCTTGGTACTGAGACGAGAATAATTCCCCTCCAAATATTGCAATCTGTTAAGTCTCCTTTTTTGGGGATTTTGACTATTGTTCCTTCAGTCCAGTCATAAGGCAACACTTCTTTTTCCCAAATATTCTTGAACAATGGTTCTAGAATGCTAGCAGTTGTGTTGGGATCTACTTTGAGAAGTTCTGCTGGCAGTTCGTCTTTGCCTGGTGCTTTGTTGTTCTTTAAAGTGTGGATAGCTTTAAGGATTTCTTGTTTGCTAAACTACTTCAAACCACAAACCAAGAAACTTTAGACAGTATGATTACCAAGAGAAGATGGAAATGGCTTGGCCACGTTTTGAGAATGACTTCTGATATACCTGCCAAAACAGCTCTCACATGGACACCAGAGGGAAAGAGAAAACATGGGCGCCCAAAAACAACATGGAGACGAACGATGGAAAGTGACCTGAGTGCAGCATCTTTGACATGGAAAACTGCATTGAAGATTGTACAGGACAGGAAAGCATGGAAAGTCCTCTCTGAAGCCTCATGTGCCACTAGGCATAACGAGAACTGATGATGATGATGTTTGCTTGGTGGTTCAGTAATAATGTCAATGTCCTGAGAGGCTGGTTGAATATCTGAACAAGCATGAAATAAGACAACTAAACAAGGGTTAGCTAAAAACATATGTTTGCAGATTCACAGCCTAGATACAAACCCCAACATAACATGCCAATCACTCTTTTCAGGATAAAACAGAAGAAACAGAAATGAAGGCCTAACACCTTCCACCCCAAAGGCAGTTACAGTTATGGGACTACCTTTACTTTTAGTCCTTTACTTTTAGTATCCAATCTGGCAAGTTTAACAGTGTCAACAATGGTATAAGATTTTAGAACATGCCCTGCAATAACAGATGTGTCCTATTTTTGCCTTTAGCTATAGGGTTCATTATACAATCATGTATGACTCATTCACAAAGATTAATGGAGCTATGGAATTTATACAACTTGCCCTAGTCACTGCTGTCATTTACAAATATGAAGGGTTACTTTGTGACAGTTTTACAAAATAAATTTGGTCATTTCAAATTAATAAGCTTTAATCATGCTTATGCTTATTATTTCTGCTGAGCTCATAATTCATTCTAAGAGCTGTGACGACCATAACGACAGATGTCTAATAATATTTGTAATGACTGTCTCCGCCAGTGAGTCATACACAGACAACAAATGATTGTTATGGTGACACAATGACCTCTATAAGTGGGATTCAGTTCAAGTTGTGGAAAACACTATTTTTAATGATCACAAAAGCAGGCACATTATTTTTACACAACAGGTTATTTCTGCATGGCGTTTAATTTTACACGTACACATATTTTTGTAGCAATCAGGCACAGTTGATAATTTGTTACCGTAACAGTAAAGGCTAATAAGTTGCTATGGCAATGCTATACAACTTATAAGTTATATGACAAGGTTGTATAGTTAGTGTTATAGCAGTTTTATGCAACTAAGTTGTTCTATAATGTTGGACTTCTTCTTCTTTTTTCTTTTGTCCTATGGTTTATGTCGCAAAGCGTCTCAGAGAGGAGTTATATATACTTTCCTGTCTTTTGATAGTTGCATAGCTTATGTTAATGTCATACTGCGTGTCTGTAGTGTCTCCTTTACTCCCTCCACCCATCTCTTTCTTGGTCAGCCTCTTGCCTTATGCCTGCTGTTCTCACATAGTACGCTCTGGGTGCTTCTGACCAGATTACCAAACCATTTTATTTTTTGATGTTCTATGGAATCATTCACTGGCAATGGGCCTACAATTGTAACACTCAGCAGCTCCTGTGGCCAATATCTAATGGATATGACAAGTTACACATTTGTGACTTGCACTGTTGCATTCTTTTGTTTCCATTTATTTGGGAGAAGCACTTATTAGTGACTACTGGGTGTTTCAGTCCTTGGTTTGCTTGCTGAAAGCAGTTTATCATAATATTGGATGTCTCCCTTGCCCTGCATGTACTTGACTTAGATCCCATTGCAACTTTATTAATAACTATTTCTTGTTTTAGAACCATTCTGATTTCATCCACAGCAGCAAAAGAAGCCATTTATCAAGAGTTCACATTTGGGCAGATACGACAATAGACAAAATAAGGACTCTGATCAGAATTGTAATTCTTCTGGAAGTTCCACGTCAGCCAGAACACAAACTGTGCTTCCTTATTCAGAAAAGTAATGAATTTAAGAAAAGTAATGAATGAAAAGATACTTTTTTTGTTTTAACTGAGATTTCTTAAATTTATAGACACTATGACTCCAGTACAGTCAGGAGACAAAAACAGCTGCCCATGATGGAAGTAATCAGAGGCACTTACCCACTCAACCCGCTGACTACCATGATCATACGTTATGCGATCAACCGACAGTTACACCTGGCTAATACTTCTCTATGTTTCTTTATAGAAAAGAATTTGGTAGTACTTAAAGTAACTTTCCCACAAATTGTTGTGTGTTTTGTTGTGATAATGGTGCCTGATCATTAGAGCCAGCACGGTGGAACAGTTTGGGAATAGTTCTGATGTTATGGGAGATTTTCTTGATTGTTTTAAATTGGAATGTGAAGGTGAAAATATTTCTGAACAGTTAGATGACTGTAACTGTGATAATTTTTACAAACTTTTGGTTTTTTATGATATTTTCTCAAGTATTCTGAAGACTGAATTATCACTGCCTGGTTTTGGAAGAGGTATTAAATAGCTGTGCACCCAATCCTGGAGAAGTTGCTGCTGTCTTGTTAACAAAATTCCTCTTACATGACATTTGCTGACACACTATCCATACAGCAGACGATTTCACAGCCTCAACTTGTTGACATTCATTCAGATGTTCAGCCGACTATTGTTACAACTGAAGCTGTTGTGGTTGATCGTAACCTGGTGGATGTGTAGATGGTATGGCACTCTGTATATCAGCTTAACTAACATGGTGAAGTTGCTTTTATTGCAAGTATATGACAACTATAAAAAAACATAAACCGCCATCTTCATGATTATGATGTACAAAAAGATTACACAATTTTTTTATTCTTGGAAAATGTTCTTCATTTAATTTGGTGCAAAACTGAAAAATATTATGAGTTTCTGTTAACCCTCTGGAGACGACGCGGCCGAAATATCTGCCCAACACAATGTAGCCAGAAGGACGGCTGGGCTGATATGTCGGCCTTGTATAATAAAAGCCTTGACATTGGCTGGCAGGTTTTCGCACAGCCATTTAGACTGCTTCTCGCATTTTTTGCACATGTGGGCTGTTCATTGACGGCTTTCAAGAAAGTTTGATGTGTTCTGTAATTTTACATTGATTTTTTTTCCCGAGGTTACCTGTACCCAAAAAATGGCGAAAAGGACTGTTGCATCATAGCAACTGAAACATGGCTGAAGGCAGGAAAATGAGGAGAACCATGTGCCAGATGTGTCTAAAAGGCCTCTATGGGTCTTACTTCCCAAAATACAGCTGTTAGGACTTTTTCAAGCTTCATCCCTAAAATAATTCACCCAAACTTTTAAGATTAGTTATGTTTGTTTCCAAGTTTTATTTAAAAAATTGCTTGCATAAATTATGCAAATCAGAATAGTTAATTTAAATAAATGTTAAGATTTCAGTTTGATTCATAAATATTCTGCTAGTTCATTCAATTTCCTACCCGAATATATAGTTTTGTAGATTGTCACAGACCTCTGGTATGACCTTGCCGGTCCGTGGCTCGTAACTAGGCCTATGACAGACAGACTAACCTTTAACACACACTGAACCCGAACGCACACAGAGCACACACGACAATCTTTATTGGAAGTACAGGTAATACATAGACAGTTGACTTCCCTCTGTGTGGCCACCTATTGCCTGGACCCTCTGGCTGAACGGGCTTTACAATCACCTAGTCCCCCAGTACGTGCTACTGGCAATATCCTGGTGTACAAACCACAACCAGTCGAGATACGTTCTTTTCTATCACCACACTGACCCAATCAAACTGTCACAGTCTCTGTCTTAGTGCAGGGTCAGAGTGTCAAGGTTAGCCACTCTCTCACAGCACATATACATAAATACTCTACACAAGAACTATCCTATCCTAACACAAAACTGTACATAAACTATCCAGTCACTAACAGAAATATATCCTAACTTTAATACTATAACTGTCTTCCTAAACGTCCTCTCTTCCTGACCGACGCACACCGAATGTCCTGTGTTCTCTCTCCCTCGTCTCTTGACCCCGTTCACCAGCTCAGTCCCAAAAGCGGTCATCGTGCTGTCGACTTGTCTCCAACAGCGTTCACCCTTTCTTGCCGTGGACAAAAGCTTTATCCTGAGCGCTGGTTTCGCCGTACAATAACCGCACAGACTTGACCAGTCACGGCCCTGACCTTTGTGTCAACCCTCGGGTGTCCCCTCAACACGCACACCTTACGGTGTGGTACATTCCGCCACTGACTGTACTCACAGGGTTGTGACATAGATGTTAATTAAACGCTTTATTTTTTATAATTGTTTGGGTATAAACTATGAGAATCCCCTTCTGAAAGCTCCATCTTCTTGGTACCCAAACTCCAAAAAGGCTCAGTCTCCAAAGGTTAACTAGTTGTGAAGCTATAGCATTTTTAGTCCACACTCAAATATGTGGTATCTGGGAAAGTGCAAGAGTTAACTGGTTTAGTAGCAACTGGGTTACAGACTCCTGTTATCCCCCAAAAAATCACTACTGGCATGTATATTGCCTCTTTGAAAGTAAAAGTATTCACGATTATTTAGCATAGTTGTTTTTGTTTACTTTGCTTTCACCTTAAACTGTGAAACTTTCTGGTATCAAAAGAGTTAAGTAAATATTAAAATATAATCATACTTTCCCCAAAATATCTTCTTATTTTTTAATTAAAGGGGGAAAAATGAGCCATTATTTGTTGTCACCAGGTGCTGGTTTTAAGAGGCAGAGGTCTTCAGAACTTAAAAATAGCTTAGCCAGCTCTAGGGCCCCCACCAGTTGTAAATCCAGCCCTTGAGATAGTATCTGAGATCAGATGAACTACTTAAAAATATATGTGAGATCCGATTTATGATACACATGAGCATGTGTCAGTCAGTGAACTTACTTTATTAGACATCTACAATTCATCTACAGATCACAGACTGAGAATAAACTGGTCAGTCACTGGTCAACAACTAAAGTCTTCATATTCAATTCATAGGAACAAATTTTACTAATGACAGTATATAAACGATACTTAAATGTAAAGTCGTGAAGCTTCGGTACGGGTCATTACAGGTAATGGATTAAATTTAAAATAATATAACTTATATTATAATACATTATAAGTACAACTAACTACTAGCAACTGGTCAATAAGAACAGTAAGTAACTTTTTTACTGTCCTGTCGCTGATACAATTTAGTGGAGGGGGGGGGGTGTACATAGTTAAATAATTCATCTCTCTCTCTCTCTCTCTTGTCTTTTATTCCCCACAAAATTAAATGTAGCAACAAGTAAATACTTTTTTACCAGTAAAGCTTGCGTCAAGCTGCACTTGAGGCAAATCTTTTAATTGAATATGTCCTGGGGCCAGGTCTTCGCCCCTGCAACAACAAAACACGAAAGACATCTTTAATCTAGCCAGATTCGCGTCCACAAACTCATCCAAACGGAGGGGAGATTATTGCATCCTCGAGGGCTGCGAGAGTGCATCCCGCTTCTTTGTACTCATTTTAAAGACTATAAAGACACAATGCATGCAGTGCTGAGTAAAGATGATTTTCAGTCAGAGTTTGAAACATAAATAAATAAATAAATAAATAACTTAAATGGAAATTAATGTGGAGTGAAATCTTGATATAAAGACATACACACACACTGGTAACACCTTAGGCTCGGTATTATGGATATCGCAACCTTTCGGCGTTGATTTTATTGTAAATCTGGGAGAAAATGTGGCTTTTCTGTGTGAACCCGGACCACAAGGAGTTCGTCACCCTCTCACCGCGCAATCCGGTTTAGCCAACTACGCTAGAGAGCCATGCAGTTTTCACATATATATATATATATATATATATATATATATATATATATATATATATATATATATATATATATATATATAGAGAGAGAGAGAGAGAGAGAGAGAGAGAGAGAGCCGCAACGTTTGCTTTTTGTTTGTGTTTGTTATATTGTGAAGGTCGCTGATATACTTTTTGTTCGGTGTTATATCTTTCCGTGGATTGTGATTGAAACTTATCGTATATTATTATTATAACCATTATTACCTGTATAATATTTTGTACCTTATGCTTTAAAATACATTTATTCGTACATATTGTATAGATTTGTATACGAAAACTATTGTTTGGGCGAAAAAGATGACATCGTCAAACTATTATAAAACGTCATTGGCGGAAAGAATCCGCGTATTGAAAAGCAAGTAGCAGCAGTATGAATTAACAACACTTTAGGAACTTTTCAGAGCATAAAGAGGGTTGGTTATTTCTGATTATAAATTTAGACATGACACTCTGTGTTAGATCACATTCTCGTTAGATGGCCCATCATCTCATATTTTACACATTATTGAACTGTGTGGATGGCATGCGGTGTGTAAAGTAACCATAGGTGCAGTTTGATCTTCTAGGATCGCCATCTGCAGGATTAATACTTCAAGGATGAGAATCGTACATGTACAAATCCCGGTAATCTCCGTTCACCCGCAAGGTCATACGTCATATTGGAATCACCCCAGGGTTACGAAGTAACCTGAAGTCTAGACGAGGCAGGGACTTATATGAATAGCAAGAGTTAGTTAGTTAGTTAGTTAGTTAGTTAGTTAGTTAGTTAGTTAGTTAGTTAGTTAGTTAGTTAGTTAGTTAGTTAGTTAGTTAGTTAGTTTGCTAGTTAGTTAGTTAGTTAGTTAGTTAGTTAGTTAGTTAGTTAGTTAGTTAGTTAGTTAGTTAGTTAGCTAGTTAGTTAGTTAGTTAGTTAGTTAGTTAGTTAGTTAGTTAGTTAGTTAGTTAGTTAGTTAGTTAGTTAGTTAGTTAGTTAGTTAGTTGTTAGTTAGTTAGTTAGTTAGTTAGTTAGTTAGTTAGTTAGTTGTTTAGTTAGTTAGTTAGTTAGTTAGTTAGTTAGTTAGTTAGTTAGTTAGTTAGTTAGTTAGTTAGTTAGTTAGTTAGTTAGTTAGTTAGTTAGTTAGTTAGTTAGTTAGTTAGTTGGTTAGTTAGTTAGGAAAAGTATATACTTAAAATACAATGGCCACTGCATTTCTCAATTGTAATCCGGAAAATTGAAAATGTTATTTGAGACAATCTACATTCTTTAGTCATGTGATGAGAAGGAGAAAACTAGAGTACTTCATGGCAGTAAGAAAGTTGGAGGAGAGGAGAGGTAGAGGGAGACCGAGACAAAAGATGCTGGATAGTTTGACATTATGCATGGGGGATCATCTATGTGTCAGAGTTGACTGAAAGTACACGAGACAGAAGGTTGTAAACAGACATGACTACCAACGCCACATGGCATGGACTTTAAGAAGAAGAAGACACAGATAAAAGTGAAGGATTTGCTTTTGCCATAACGACTCATTGGACATTTTATTCTAGAGTCACATTTTCATAGACCAATTGGCAATCGGTGGCTGATGTGGTCAGCGTCACCCCGGTCACCTTTACTTCCCATAAAATTACATGATACGCATTATAGGTTGGATTGACTCGAAAGACAAGATCAATTTTGACGGGGTGGGGGGTTGGGGGGGGGGGGGTCGACTTATTGCGTATTCGAACCCAAGACCTTTTGGCCGTTTTAGGAGAGAGAATCAGAAGAATGTTGTAACATAGATCGGTAGATGGAGAAGATAGTCTTGGGCGGTATGATGAAGTGGCAAGGAAGATGTTTTGTTATCATAATGGACGTGAGTGCAAGCTGGGCATTCCCACACTGCCAGTTCCCTCAGTATGTGGCAGTAATCTCAAGGCACCTCTGCTGATTGTACCATTGCAGTTAATTTTTATTGCTGAGGCGTATCTAATTTATTTATTGAACTATTAGGACATTTATTTTACGGGAAATGTAAAACGCACATGTATAAAGTAAGTTACAAACGATTTTTTTTTAAATGTTTCAGTATGTAGGCTACTATTGGATATTTAGTGAAAGCCCAAATTCGCATGGACACGTCAGCCCTCAGTGGTTGATAGGCTTTTACCACCCAGAACATTAACCCACAGCAAATTAAAAACCACACTGTTGCTTCGCACAACAGGCTTAAAGCCAAACTTGGCAATTACTTGGCTATTGTCTCACCCCCCCCCCCACCCTTCTTCCAGTTTACCCCAGTTTATATAATAGGTTAACATATCAACTTATGTTCAGAATAACAGACCCCCCCCCCCCCCCCCCACGAGACACACACATATACATCAAAGTCGTGATTACCCATAGAGTGTAGGGCTAATCAACCAAATTTACTCACGTGCCAAACATTTTGAAAATGATCGTCCCGGGCCATAGACCTGAGCTCCAGCATAGAAAGATAATTAATACTATACAACTGGTATTGATCCGCGTGCCACTAGTTATGCCTCCGTGTGCCAGATTTGGCTTCCGGGCAGCAAGCTGAATAGTTCTATCTAGCCCTATCGTAGAGTTAGGGCTATTCAAATTTCTGGTCGCGATTGAACAGTGCAGAGGCACAGATAGATCATTACAGTCTATGAAGAATGCGTTACAAGGGGATCAACAACCAGGAGAAAGGCGAACGGATATACAATCAGACAGTTCCCGGTGTCATCGGATTTAGAACTGTTTGTTTGCTGCTGAAGATGGGGACGCAGCACTCATGGGGGTGTCCCGAGGGCTGTGATGTCGATTCTTAATTGGATATTTAACCATAGAGAAACGAGTGGAATTTTTTGGGGAATACAAACATTGTGAGCGATGGCTAATTCATAACATGTAGGCATTTGCATCCATACTAACTTATTTGCTGGTAGGTGTTCAACTAAATGTGTAGGGCTGTAACATAGGTTATGTTTAAGATTAATGCATAGTTTATCAAAGGTAACAGGTGTTTGTTCAGGTGTTTGTTTTGTTTTAAATGTTTTAACACGAACGGTTTACCTACATAATCACATGCTTGCCCTTAACTTTCACACGAGAAATCAGATTGGATTATGTAACCTTTTAAATTACAAGAGTTGTAAATTCGAGAATGGAAATTAATTACTACGAATTGTAATAGAACGTATGTGAATCACATAACCACACAAAGATGGTTGTAAGCACAGGAAGTAAAAGTACAATTACATAAACTATGACTTAAAAGCTCAACGAAGGCAAGAGAAAAGAATGGCACAAAATAAAAGGTACGTTCCAACCAAAGTCTTAGTCAGTGGTGTTTTCAATTCAACAAAACTAACTGAAAACTTTACGTACAAGAAAACAAAGCTTGTAGACATCGACACATTTACGGTTCCAGGCGCGACTAACAAAGCCACTAAGCTGTGTGTCATAAAAGAATAAATGGTGCTAAAATATGCGCAGATTGTGAATATATTTCTCGTTCAATTACCAAGGCTGGCGTGCATCAGGATTAGAGCATTGTCAGGTAAGTCTTAACGAACAAAGGAACTGGTTAACAGGCAGGCAGACCGCCGGAGTAAACCCACGAAAATAATAAACTACAGCTGTAATTGCTTTCGCTGGCGCTTAAAGGTAAAATGATAACTTCTCCGCTGGGAATCTAATATCCCAAATCTCTCTCTCTCTCTCTCTCTCTCTCTCTCTCTCTCTCTCTCTCTCTCTCTCTCTCTCTCTCTCTCTCGTCGGTGGCTAGAGAACAAGACACATACACATGTCGTAATTGTAACAGAATCTGAAAGCATTCTGAAAAATATGAAGACAATACTGGCTCGATCAGAGTGGCAAGCGTGGCTTACAAGGTCATGGGTAGTAAGCATACTTTAGACCTTTTCTCCAGACATGCCAGTGTGGTGGGTAATGAACAGGCAGACAGATTGGCTAAATCTGCACGGTTGAGTGGTGAATTGATACACGACAAGGCAGATGTGGTGAGAAATCTTTGGGAACAAGTAACGAAGTCAGAAGAGAAACAAGATTATTATAGGCTGGAGAGACTTGGGTGTGATCAGAGGGTTCGGCCGGCACAGAGGAAATGCAAGACGGTCACACACCAGACTACGACCGGCACAACTGGGAGAAGGGGGACGGAGCGTGTATGGGAATGCCCCGAGTGCTGTGATTTTAATTCATGGCTCAACTCAACTCTCTCTCTCTCTCTCTCTTTCTCTCTCTCTCTCTCTCTCTCTCGCTAGCTCGCTCGCGCGCGCTCTCTCTCTCCTTCTCCTGCAGAACGACTGGTCGCACGTCAAGAGTATCGCACATAAACTCCATAGCCCATTGTCAACCCCCCCCCCCTCGCCCGCATTTCCCTAAGGATTCTCAAAAACCCATGCAATCGTGAACAGAAGAATTAAGCCAGAAACGAACCTAAATCTTCATTATGGTGAGCGAAGTAATGATAAAATTTATGTTAACGGAGGATGTACCTAGAACAGGGGTGGGCTACCGGTTGTGATCTGGTAATCTGGGCGATGGTGG